ATGTTCTATTCTCTCTCGCAGAACTCTCTCAGATAGAAAGTAAGCTGGGTTCTTATACTTCTAATTCTGCTTCCTTTATTAAACAGTTTCAATATATAGCTCAATCTTATAGTCTCACCTTTCATGATATATACATGATACTGTCTAATAATTTACTTCCTGAGGAGCTCAGGCAGTTATGGGAACAGGCTAGGACCCATGCAGACGAAATTCATCTGACTAACCTTTCACACCCCCCAGGAGCTGAGGCGGTTCCTGACCAAGAACCACACTGGGACTATAACACCCAGGGTGGCTGTCTAGTCAGAGATAGGTTTATTACCTGTCTCCTGACAGGCCTCTGTAAGGCTGCCCTAAAACCAGTAAACTATGAAAAAACTGAAAATGGTAATTCAGGATAAGGACGAAAATCCATCTCACTTCTTGGAGCACTTCACCAAGGCTCTACTTCAGTTCACTAGCTTAGACCCAGAGAGCCCTGAGGGCAGGCAGATCCTAATGACCCACTTTGTCTCACAGAGCTTCCCTGACATTAGAGATAAACTTAAACATTTGGAGAACGGCCCTTTGACCCCACAGGCAGATGTGCTGGCGATAGCATTTAAGTGTACCATGGAAGAGATGAGAAGGCCAAGAAAAGGAATTGCCAGATGCTGGCAAACACCATCTGACCAGCTCCCTGAAAGCTGTCTGGTCCCTGTTTCAAGTGCAGGGAAAGAAGGCCATAGGGCCCGGGCTTGCACCACCGCCCCACAAAGGGCACTAACAAGGCCTTGTTCAAAGTGTTGCCGAAAGGGTCACTGGTCAGCTGACTGTCCTAATGTCCCAAGCGACACAGAAATGCCAGACGAAGACCACTCCGCCTGATTTTCTAGGCTTGGCCTACAGCGAGGACTGATGCTGCCCGGTTCCCGCCCCGGCCACTCCCATCTCACACAGGGAACCAAGGGTAGTAATAAAAATAAATGAGTGCCCCATCTCGTTCCTTTTGGACACCGGAGTTACCTACTCTGTCTTGAGAGAGTTTTGGGGGCCCACCTCTCCTGCTTGTCTCCCTATTGTCAGGGTTGAGGGACAGCCTTACCTGCCTCATCAGACACCACCACTCAATTGTATTTTCAGAGGCATCCCTCTCACACACACATTCTTAGTGGTGCCAAGCTGCCCTGTACCTTTAATGGGAAGGGATCTTCTAGCTAAGGTAGAAGCATCCATTTCTTTCGCTCCACTCCACACACTCGCCTCATCCCAGACGGGCCAGCAGCTCCCCTCCTCCTTCTCCTCCTAGCCACTCACTCTACTGACTCCAACAATTCCTTTCCCTTGCCAGCCTCTCTTCTCATGGAGGCATATCCAGTTTCTAATAAGCGGGCTCAGACAGTTGCAGACCTCCTTCTCTGAGAAATTATTCCTTGGTTTGGGGTTCCTGCTTCTCTTCAGTCTGACAATGGCCCAGAGTTCACCTCTCAGATTTCTCAGACACTAGCTAAGGCTCTTAACATTCCTTGGCATGTTCATATCCCATACTGTCCTCAATCCTCAGGAAAGGTGGAGCGTACCAACCAGTCTTTAAAAACTATTCTTACTAAGATGTCACAGGAACTTCATCTTGACTGGGTAAGACTATGGCCTCTAGCTCTTCTCAGGCTCAGGGCTCTTCCTAAAGAGCTCTTTCAATCTCTCCGTTTGAACTAATGTATGGAAGGCCAGTTCTAACACCAGGTCTTTTATCCAACCCTCCAACTGTTCCAGATAGCCTGTTAACTTCCCTCTTATGTCACCTAAGGTCTATCATATGGAGCTACGCAGACTGTTCATTACCTCAGCCGTGTGACAATAAAATTGTGGTTGAATGGGTATGGGGTGGTGTTTCTCTGAAAGATTGCTTCCGACTGAATAGTGGGCGTCGGTTGGCTCTTTTTTCTTTTTTAAAAAGAGTCAGGGATGATGGGTTCACAACACGCCCCCACGGTTGGGCGTGTTTGCTCATGCCCGGCGGACTTAGACACTTCCGCCTAGCCAGTTCCAGGTCAAAATAGCCATTTCTGGGTCAAGGCGTCTCCTGTGACCAGGATCCTTTGCATGGTTGTGTAAGAGTGCGCAACACAACCATGTGATCTGCGCATGCGTGGAGTAGTTACATTGACTTGTGTAGGCACGTACGCCACCCAGCCTTTATAAGCAGGCTCCATATTCCCGGCTCTCTCTCCGTTTTCTTCTCCACAAACGTGTCTCTTCTGCAGGCCTGAGCACTTGTCTGTCCTTTTCTCTTAATAAAACTCTCATTTGTGGATTCTGTCGTGTTTCGTGACATTTCCTTGTAGGGTAAGAGCGCTGCTAAATAACAGGTGGTGGCTCACACCTTCATCCCAGCACCTGGAAAGCTCATGCCTTTGATCCCAGCATTTGGGAGGCTCATGCTTTTGGTCCTAGTACTTGGGAGGTGGAGACAGGAATATAAGGCGGGTAGAAACAGGATCCAGCCCCCACTTTTGGTCTGAGATTTCATAGAGATAAGAAGTCTCTGGTGGCTGGTTGCTCAGCTTCTCTGATCTTTCAGCTTTCACCCTGATAATCTGATAATCTGACTCCT